GGTGCGTGCATGTCCAAAATCCCAAAAGGAAGGAGAAATGGAGGAGAAGGGATTGCGGTTTGACCATTCCCCATGAGTGGTGCTTTCTCACTTGCCCCTTCTCTCTCCCTCTGTCTCTGGTTGCGTGCAGAAGCCCTCTAGCAAAATTAAAAAAAAAAAAAAGTTTGGACTGGGGCGTAGAGGAAGGTAATTAGGATTTTTTCAAATCTTTGAAGAATACTACATATCCAAGTGCTTCTGATATGGAGAGTTTGAAGAAGTGTTTGCAACAGAGAGCAGAGTGAGGAGGGGGTGTGGAGTTCGAAAGGCACCAAAGATAAATATTCTGTAGCTTAAAACTTTGCTCGAAGGCAGCTCTGAAAGCAAGAAAGGAGTACATTCTCCTTTCCTTGGTCTCTCTGTATTCAACCTTCTTGACCTCATGTCTGCCCCTCAATCCAGAATGTCATATACTAATTACTAGTTTTATATATTTACACTATGGGTTAAACAGACTTTTATAGGCAGGCCTGAGATACTATCGCTTAGAATACTATTTATATAAAAATGATTGAAATGTCAAACATAAAATTCAAAAATAAATTTGAAGCATAAACTAAATTGATGCCTGCCTCTACGTAAGAAAAAGGAGGATAAAATTTGATAAAGTCAGGAACTGGAATTCTCAAGGCAGAAGACTAAGTCTTTAACATCTTGGAGGTAAATCAATTTTTAAAACAGTGAGCTCTTTTTTTAAAAAAAAAATTATTTTAATTTAAGGTTTTTGCCATAGGGTGCATGTGCTCGCTGGAGAGAGACAGAGATAGACAGAGTAAAGCTGGAGGGGCCAGCAGGTGGCGTGGTGGTTGTGGCACTGGATTCCCACATAGCTGACCATGGCTGGAGTCCCGGGCCTGGCAGCTTGCTTTCTGCCCCCCCCCCCGCCCCCTTACCCTCTCTCTTTAGTCAAATTGAATAATAATAATAAGTGGGTAAAATTAAATAAACAGTTCTTTAAAAACCAACCAAACAAAAATAACAAAGAAAGTAAAGCTGGAGATTTGGTCCTGGTGAGGTCCTCCGAGGTCGCACTGCGCTGGGGAGGAGGGAAGGAGGGACTGCAGATGCACAGCTTCTCTCTGAGGTAAGAGAGGGCCTTGCAGCTGAACTGACCCGACAAGAAAGGAACAATGTGTGGTGAGTTAATTTAGAGTAATTAACCTGGGCGAGGATTAATTTAGGGAGAGAAAACATAACTATTTCTCAAAACAAAAGAATTATTTGTGGTTTGCTAGTGAACAAGACAACTTTCACAGTGCTCTTGAAGGGTCTTACCTAATTAACAACTTTCAAATCTAGGCATAGGTAATGGTCAAGCCAAACATGGCACTGAAGATCTCCAACAAGGAGAGGAAGAGGACACTGAAAACAGAGGTGGGCAGGCTCTGAAGAGGGCTGGAGTGAGCAGAGTCTCCTTCCTCTTTGCCCTCGCTTGGTCCTCTCCTCTCCTCACATCGCCCTCCTGGTTCTCCCCCATCCTCTTCTTCCCCCCTTACCCCCAACTCCAGTTCTGAAATACCTCCATCAGTTAATTCTCAAAGACTAAGGCCCAAACTGGCTCTGAGTGAAATACAAATTATCAATAGGGGGAAAAAAAAAAGATATCTAGCCTCAGTAATAATCTGAGAACAAGGAATTAAAGCTCAGATGCTTTGGGGCTGAATGGTGGCGCACGCTCTGTGAGGCTGATACATGAGGGAAGGTTCTGGTTCACATTTAGAGATCTTTCTGAACACGCCAGACACACGTGAGCCCATGGTCCAAGGTTGGCTAAGGCTGGGAGTGGATTGTGGTATGAAGACCCTGTTGAGGGAACCTGTCTCTCTTACCCATGGAACAAAAAACAACAACAACAACAACAACAAAACACCATAGATATTTTGAAAAGGTCTTGAACTGGCATGGAGTGAGGTATACAATCAGTCTGCTTTTTCTTAAATCTGCACATACACATTTGTTTGACCCTAAATTTAAAAGCAGCATAGTCTGCTCAAGATCTAAATGATCAAGCTTTTAAAAATTATTATAATCACCAGACCCAAGAAATACAAAGGACCTCTAACAGAATCAACCCAAGAAGATCTTCTCCAAGGCACATCATAGCCAGACTGGTCAAATCTACAAAGATAAGATGCTAAAATGGGCGAGAGAGAGAGAGAGAGAGAGAGACGTCAGGTTACTTATAAAGGTCACCCCCTCAGGCTAACCTTAGACCTCTCATCAGAAACAATGTGAACAAGGAAAGAATGGGATAATACATTCAAAGTGTTAGTGAAAAACAGTTTCAACCAAGAGGACTATACCAGCAAGATTATCTTTCATATGGAAAGAAAGGATAAAAAACATTCTCAGATAAACAAGACGTGAAAGAATTTGCCAATAGCAGACCTACTCTTCCAGAAGTTCTGAAAGGAGTGCTCTACCAGAAAACTAAAGACATATAAAGAAGTAAAAGAAGGAAAGGCAACCAAGAAAATGACCAATTCAATGCTAGGGACAAGAAATATCAATAACATTGAATGTTAACTTCCAAGATTTAAAAAGAAAGACCGGTCCACGATAACGCTGCATATTCAACAGAAGAGAGTTTGAACATAAGACTAAACTGATGAAACAGAATTTTAAGACTTTTGAGTGAAACATTACTGATTTTTTTTTTTTACTATGCTTTGTTTTCCTAATTTAAACATTTTACTTTTGTTTGAGTTGTTGGTAAGTTCAGCAATTCGTTAAAATATTTTTGTTTGTTTCTTTAAATGGAAACACAGACTTTTCTCCCTTCCTGATCCCTCTGGAACTGGAAAATATTTGGGAGTATTCTTATTTTGTGGCAGAAGGGTTATTTGTATAAGTTCAATAATGCTTGTTGCATTGAATCAGAAACTGGTCATACTCATTATTGGACAGGGCTTTGACTAGAATGTCATATCTGAAGATTAATCAGAAAACTATGGAATTAATGTGGATCTCAGGTAAGCCAACAGAAGCTCTTAGAAAGATGGCCCAGCACCATAAATAGTTCTGCCTGGCAGAGAGGATTAGGATTATATGAAAGAATTTATAACATAAAATAACCTGGGCTTTCCAGTCCAGCATTGTCATCAGTAGAGCAGCCACACACTTTGAAGGAAGAAAAAGAGACTGATCTTTGCTAGCAGATGGTATGTCACAGAATACTCGGTAGGCAGGGCTGAATTGAGAAGGCTTATATGTGACTTGCGTGCTGGGCATTTGCTTTTCAACAATTTGAGTAGCTGACATGTAAATATTTTATTTTTGAGAATTTTAAAATATTTTCTCAAAAATATTTAAAACCATACTGTCTCTGTTGTTATAGAGTTAAAAACAAGATTATACAAATTTATAAGAAATATTTTAACATTACCTTTAAAATCCAGTATTTTGACATTTTGAAAGTTGTTTATTAACTGTCAAAAACTATGGCATATGAGCAAAATTTTTTGATATGTAAAGTAAATGTGGAAAAATGTAAAAATAAATAAAGGAAAAAATTATTACAATCAACAAAATTACTGGTATTTTGATATTTAAAACTAACGCTAGAATAATCAAAATCAGTTACTATGAACACTGAAGTAAGTGGCCATTTTCAATAGCCACTGTACATTGTAATAAAACAAAAAGTTCGCACGTGTGATACGGAAACTGTCCTCCTGGGATATCACACTTGAGTTACCACGCTAGGCCAACTATGTCTCAATGCACCCCATTCTCAGTGAATTCAGTGGGGTCAGGCTGAAGCATCTATTTTTAGTGATTCTGACATATACGTCTGGTCAGGTGCTACTGTCTAAAGGAAGTTAAATGTTATTACACAACCTCTAATATTCTCCACTCAGTTATAGCAAAACATTAAGATCTCCCAGACAAAACTGCTTTACTTACAAAGTCATGACAAATTTCCTCATTGCCTTGGTTTTTGTTTTTGTTAGTAGTTTTGTTAGTAGGGCATGTGCTGTGCTTGCCAGAGACAGAGACAGAGATGGAGATAGAGAGATCATCCCTCCCAAGGGGCAGATGGTCACACTGCAATCCCTTCTCAATTCTCCTCTCAGGATTTTGAGCTAGTGCAAACATGCACCTGGTATGTTTTTCAAGCCTCCAGTCCCAGACTTAAATAGTGCTGTCAGACACGTGGGAGCCACCTTAACTACCTCGCCACCTGCTGGCCCTCCTTGGGTTTGTTTTTACTTGATAATTTCCAAAGTAATAGCTGAAAAAATACTTGTAAACTTTCCTTGTCATATCGCTATGAAATTATTTGGAACTAACATGTCAAATGAAAGTATAAAAGGTAATGAATTTAGAAGTATACGGAAACTAGGTCTTTACTTTAAAAAGTAGAGCTATTAGCTTATAGCATGGAGTAAGGGTTAGGTAGGAGTGGCTGGGATAGGATTAGGGAGGATAGAAAAGGGAAGGTATCAAATTCTTCCTGAAACACATCCTTAGGGCATTGGCTTCATTCTTTCACTAACACTGATGGGAATTTACCGTGTGCTCATGTTCAAATGGAAAGGAAAGTATTACCTCATGATATAACCTATTTTTAGATGATGTATTTTGTTATTTGTATACCAAAGGCCAGTATCTCTTTTGTTGTCGTTGTTGTTGTTGTTTTTGAGAGATTTCTGCCATAGGACACATGCACTCGCTAGAGAGACAGACAGAAAGTGAGAAATCACCCCCCAGGAGGGATGGCCACACTGCAATGCCTTCTCCTCCATTCTCCCCTCGGAATCTTGGGAATGCATGTACACATGCCTGGTGTGAGTTTTAAGCCACCAGATCTGGGACTCAAACCACGTTGACCACGTGCAGGTCCAGTAACCACTACACCATCTGCTGGTCCCACAAAGGCCATTATCTTAACTCCACTTTATTTCCTCCCCCCGGCCCCTTATCTACGTATTATGAACAACTGAAATTTAATAACATACCTCGGGTCAAGAAGGCTCCTCAAAAATTTGAATAGCAAAATTGGGTTCTGAATAGAGAAACAATAAAAAAAAAATTAACTATTTAAACAAAATTTCCCATTTATGCCATGGTAAAAGAATTACTCTAGATTATTCTTTAAAATGTGATTATTTCCATTACATTTCCTGTGTGAAAATTCTAAAGAATCATTTGGAAATTTTTTATATCCTGTTAATGATTTTAATCTCGGTCACACAATTTTGGGAAGTAATGGAACACAAACACCTTGAGATCCACAAAATAAAACCCCCAAACCAAAAAACCTCTAGGAGACAAATCCCGAAGCTGTTCCCAGCACACAGCCCTGGCCCGTCAGAGGTGAGAGAGGGGTGCACTGAACTGCCAGGGCTTTCACACTGTCTCACCTGGCCCTCCTCTGAAAGGTGGCAAGTCAGGCCCAAATTAGCAACAAATGAACAACCATTATCTCCACAGTTAACCAACTACAGGCCAGATGGCCCTCACACTGCAACTCCTCAGCAACCCACCCGCCATGTACTCTGGGCTCTGTTACTGCCACCTATTCGCTCTAGCAATTCCGCTTCCTGATGTGAGAAAGAAATAAAAAAAGAGAACTGCAGTATCTTCCCTGTCTTCGGCCCAGGGTAGTAGTAAAGATTAAATAAGATAAACCTTTGAATGCTACATAAAAATAACATTTCTAAGTTCTTGGGAAACTTAAGCTATAAGTAATGTTGAAAAGCTATTTTTCTTACTTTTTTTGATACATCCACTTCACCTCTTTTTAAAAAAAAATTATTTATTTATCTATTTTTTTAAGAGATTTTTACTATAGGGTGGGTGCATGTGCTCGCCTGAGATGGAAAGCAAGAAATCACCCCCAGGGGGGATGGCCATGCCGCAATCCCTTCTCCTCTATTCTCCTCTAGGGATCTTGGGCATGCACGCACATGTGCCCTCATGAATTTCAAGCTGCCAGGTTCAGGACTCGAACCGCAGTCACCCATGAGGGAATCCAGTGCCTTAACCACTAATGCCACCTACTGGCAACCAAACTTCACCTCTAAAAAACAGGGACTTCTCAAAGCTAAAAAGGACTAAAGCCATTTAGATTTTAAAATATGATTTAAAAATATATTTATATGTATTGGTCTTTAATTTTCCCTATCACTTTGTTTTTTACATGACAGTCTTCCTTGTTATAACTTAACATTCTGGATTATTTTTCTTATCACGGATTCTGGAAACAACTGGTCAGAGGCATATTTTTTGCCATCAGATGTAAAGGTACTTTAGAAGATCTGGGTGGGGTTCGCACAAAATCAGCAAAGCTCTGCAAAACAGTAAATACCTCGTTTCTTTAGAAGAAACATCTAAGACTTCACAAATGGACCACAGCTTAACCATTACACTTCAGTTCTTATAAATATGTCTGATAAACTATATTACATTCATTTACTGTGCTATTTCTTAATATCCTTAGAGATTACAGGGGAAAAACGCTGCAATTGATAAAGCTTAAACTTTAAAGGACAATGAGAGCAGGCAAGATTTACAGAACTGCTGACTTTAAACAGGAACACAGCCTCGGGGTGAGTTTCAGGAGAAACACCGTCGGCTCTCACTGACTGAACTGGCGTCCCTCGACATACACTGCAGCATCCCCGGGGGTGCTCCACTGTCACTGAGTCAAACTGGTCACTGTCCCTGAGAGTACGGGTCACATTTATGTGTTTTTGTGCCCTTAGAACCTAAGTTTTGTGCCCACAGCAGTTACAAAAGTATTTATTAATTACTGGATTTTAAATTTCTCTCATCACATTCAACTAATTTCCCAGCCCTACATGTTTAACTTCACAAATATCATCTTGGGTCTCGTCCCTATGGCCACTGACTCAGTCCTGCTCTCAGGAGATGTCTGACTGCCATCTCTTGGTCAACTGTGCAGAACCTGCTGACACCGTCTGGCTTCTGACTGGTCTCCTGTGTTTTCTCTCTGTGCCAGTTCGTTCTCCAAACTGCCTTCCAGAGTTTCTTCTCTGTAAGATGGGTCTAACGACGTCGCTCCTTGCTTTAGAATTCTCCAGTATGCAGAAGAGAAGCGTACATCTCTCAGCCTTCCATACACCATAATGCCGGCCCATGCCCTGTCTTTCAGCTTCCATAATTCGACCTCCTCCCCTCCGACATGTCTCCTATGCTCACTGGAAGGCCGCGTCCCCAGTGCCCGCCGTGGCGTACTTCCTGTAGACCTGGGCATCCTCTGCATGTGTGTGTTCACGCAGGCAAGTCTTTGAATGGATCCAGAATGCTTTTCACCTAGAAAGCCCTTCCCAGGGATCTGCTTAGAGAACCGATGCCTGCCATTCAAGACCCAGCTCAGGCGCTCTCTGGAATTCCTGTCTGGTTTCGCACAGTCCGTAAGGCTCTTCTCTTGGTCCTGCAGTTCCTTTTATAAACTTCTGGTGTAGCTCTTGTAATGCTGCGCTGCAGTTATGTAATGCCTCTCTGTTCCGCAGGAGAAACGGAAGGAATGCCTGCATCTTATTTGTGTCCCCAGCACTAAATGCACGATAGCTCGGAGTGGGGCCACGGTAAGTGTTCAGATAACGAATTCCAGTCTGTCTCTCGTGCCGGCTGCCTTGCACCTACCGCCTGGTTTCCATCCTGCACAGCTATTCCCTGTCACTACTATCGCCATTCGAGGGCTCTGGGTCGTTCTTTCTGTCCCTGTCCCTGTTACATGTCCTACCTCTGTAGTCATAACAGCGGGGAGCAAACAACACTCACACGGCCACAGTAAGTGACAAGTGCAATGCGAGACCCCTTCAACCGTCCTTGCAACTGAGCTCAGCCCCAGCATGTGCAGAGCTGTGAGCTGGTTAAGGTTTTCCAAGAAAAATACTAAATAGTTAACACCAACTAAACTCGAGGATAATAAAGTTCTGAATAAACAACTCAAAGAAAATGGAGGAAAGAGAGGATCTTCGGTATATTATAATTTCTGGAATAAGTATAGATTATAGTTCCAAAAAGGTATCTTTGATGTTAATATTTTTTTGTACAAAGATGAACTCCATTTCAAGATGCAGAAATTATCAGACAACTGCTCTCTAAAATACACACACGTACACACGCACACACACACACATACACACACACACACACACACGCACACACAGAAACTATTACACAGCAACTACCAATTGAAGAAATGACCACAATCAAAAGTTCTTGGTGAAGATCCAATAACCGTCTCTTCACTGGATGGTCTTCCCAGCATATGTTTACAATATTTACCTGAAGTTTTTTAATAACTGTTTCAATCTGTCCAGAAAAGTGGGTAGCAACCAGTTCCGCAGCTTTACAGGGCTTCAGGGACACAAGTTCCTGAAGTCAAAGGAAAAAACAAAATTATTTTTAACAGTCCATTTAAATAGAATATCCATTGATGTGAGGCATGATTACTACCTCAATATTATCACAAGCTTACAAACTGCATCTCAGGAGACCTGGATAAAGGGCCTCAATTTAGAGGGCACATTGCGAATGAACAAAATTAGAAATATGCCACAGGAGAAAAAGAATTCGATCAAAAAAGGTAATTCAGAATTCTTCAAAAACAGCGAGTACTATATAAAACTCTGGGTCTGGCCCATGATACCTACAGGATGAAGATAAGGAACAAACACGCCGCACACCCCCTGAATTTCACCCTTGAGCTTAAAGTACTAAGTTACAGAAATGAAGGGGTATAGTTACAATCTGACTAAGCGTTCTAAAACTCTACAGCTAGTGCCAGGTGGGCTTAGAAACTCGAAAGGTCTCAAGAAGTCAACTTGAGGTCCTAAGACTTAAATGAGACTCAAACTGTCACCACTGTTAATGAACCATTGATAAGACCTATTTCTGTCAAATCTAAGACTGCCAATCTGCTCTCCCCTGGAACTTCCCTTCACGACTGGCTCCCTTTTCATGAAACTCTCTTCTGACTTGGTCTCTATCACCTACTACTTTGCCTGTCCAATTGCACCTTTCTGTGGGAAAACCGTTACCAAACACGCCATGATACACAGCTAAAATGTGAAGACCAGATGTAAAACACAGTGTGTTACCAAATAAAAGTCAGACAAATTACTATGACTGCAATACTCACGGTACATCTAATAACTATTGCTAGTTATCTGTAGATCAATAATTAGTCAACACAAATAACTGTAGTTTACACTACTTTAATGCAATATATTTCAAAAAAGAAAAGGCACCTCTTCAATATTTAATATTACAGTACATTGTACACCTCTGATAACTGTTCTACTAGTTTTTCTGGACATATGTGTTGAAGTGCCCATTACTTTTACTCTGCTGTGGCACTCTGCTTGAGAGAAAGAGAGAAAGAGAGGGAGATATATATATATATATATATATATATATCCACAACAAGGGAGGGAGAGATATATATATATATATATATATTTATCCACAACAAGGTCCTTACATAGTGATCTGCTCCCAGCCTCAGCCAGCCCAGATCACAGACCTGAGCGTGCGTGCCCCATGTACGCACAGACCTGAGCGTGCATGCCCCGTGTACACAGACCCGAGCGTGCGTGCCCCATGTACGCACAGACCCGAGCGTGCGTGCCCCGTGTACGCGGACCCGAGCGTGCGTGCCCCATGTACGCACAGACCTGAGCGTGCATGCCCCGTGTACACAGACCCGAGCGTGCGTGCCCCATGTACGCACAGACCCGCGCGTGCGTGCC